TACTTAACTTGTTCCACTGCTTTGTGTTTATAATGTTACAGCTGATACTAGTTGTTATTTGTGTGAGTCATGATTATTTTTTAGCCTCTAAAAGTAATGATTAGTAATATTATCAGAGCTAATACTCTCTTCTCACTGATGCCACATGCATTGTCCGATTCTCTACGACAGCAAGCTCAAGCAGTGTGTTAAGGCTTTTCACATCTAACTTGTTATCAACAGCGTCTCAGTGTTTTGTGCGAGTCCTATTAGCATGTTGCCTCGTCTCTTGCGTATTCAGCTGGCTAAGAGCACAAATGGAAAGGACAGGATGTTGAGTAGTGGGTAGTATGCATCTTGGCACAAACAGAATCCATAATATTACATTTGTTGTTTAGAGATATTTTATGACAGAACAGCCAATCATTAGTGCTTTATAGTAATCTCTGAATTGAGTTTACACCATCTGCTTGTAAAAAGCAGATTTGTTATATGACTTACGATTCTATTGACTGTATGTATTAAATGTATTAAACCAACAAAATGGCTTTAATCTGCTAACAATTTAATTTTGGCCGTGAGTTTGCTATCGCACCACCTATATAATATTCATTAATGATATGGGAGGCACCAAGAGACTAACAATGTGTACAGTTTAATTAATTATCAGGTTTCGCAACTAATGATGATGTGATTTACAGCACACTACAGTTGAGAAACTCCGAAGGAGCCCTATTATACGAGCACAGATGCATTGTGTGGCCACGAGAGACGAGCAGAGCGCTCCCGTGAGATAGTCGGCAGAGAGACAGAGTGGAGCTGCTTCAAGGGAGAGAAGTGTGATGTTTATAGTACAATCTTAACAAGGCTGATTTACTGCCTGCTTTGTTTGACGCAGGTCTGCCACAGAGAGAAGAGGCGAGATAGCAGGAGTCAAAAGAGGGAGGCAGAAATTAATGAAATGCTTTAACGTCATGACTAATACAAGAGTTACTGCTGTCTGTAGCCAGACGCTTCCTGCAGGTGCATTAGTATTCCATAATTCATGATGCCGATTACAAGGGTGCGTGTTTCCTCTTATTCACCCTCTGACTTTGCCTTTGCTCATATTCCCACAGCAGTGTTCAAAACACTGCAGTTCTCATGTTCATTAGCTGTTCGTCACAGGGTGTCTCTTTGACAAGGGAAAACCTTCATCTTTACATTGGAAGAAATCATTTTCTTAGTTGCCAATAGTGTTACAATAAAGAATCCACGCAATTCTTGGTTTCTCATGTAAAAAAAAAAACACATCTAGCCCATATTTGAATTTGTGCCGCGTTCATCTTATATCAGAGTTACTGTGGTGTCTGACAGAGACAGAGAGATTTTTCTGAAAGCTCCGATATATCCGATTACTAACACGGATGCCCCTGAAAATCTAAAATGGACGACTCATATTAGCCAGAGACCATCAATGTAATTAAACCCAAATGTATTGGTATGGTGTGTTGTATTGTGAATGCACAGTATTTTAATCCTCACAACCAACTCTGTATTCATACAACGGTCTTAATGACGTTTGCACGTTGTTGATATGGGAATCTTTCCCTTCTCCACCATCCATCTCATATGATGTGTCAACGCATATCAAATTTAACATGAGACGTTTTACATTTCATGTGACATATCTGAAAATTGTGTCTAATTTGTTCACATATTAACTGGTTGTCCACTTTGCACAACATTTCACGTTATATTTTCATGTGTGCTGTTTTTTGTAAGCTGCTTGTCAACGTTGATCAAAATTATCCAGTTTTCTAATAGTTCAATTTGTACTCACTGCATTGCCGAATGTGATGTGTGTAATGATCTATCAAGACCGGGTTTGAGGCAACCAAAATTGGGTACAAACGGTTCACAAGAGTCTTCTGAGTATCTTTTTTAAATTGGTATTCAAGGCTATATTGCAGAGAAATTTGAAATGAGACCTGATGGGAAATTGGGTCTCAGAAAAAGGTGATTGACCACATCATTACTTGCCTGCTTCTTTGTTTGGTTTCACAAGAACAAACAAAGGTAAACATCATGAAAGGTTGTATGATATAACTGAATGCAATATTATAGTCTGTGTAAAATCTTAATGTTAGATTTTTGTTGTTGTTGAGAGTTTGTGGTGCAGTGCTATTTTGGTGCTACCGCATAAGTTATCAGCTAAAGTAATATTTGATGCAGGGTTGTTTTATTTTATTGTTCATGGGTTCACAGATCTGTATAAAAAGTAAAGTTGTCTATACTTTCTAAAGTAGAAAGAAAAGGATTTCATTGAGCCGAAATGAGGGCAGACTAAGAGGCCAGATGCAGATAACGTTCACTGAAAGTAGGAAACTAATAAAACCACCTATTGAGACTCCTTGATGTAACTAATGTCCCCGACTCACATTTGACTGCAAATCCCAGACATGAATCAAGATTACCTGAGTAAGAAATAATTATGTTTGGAACAAATGCTGCCCTTTTAATTAAAGTCAAAGTCAGTCAAGTCTTTGGAGTAAGTGTTCAATGTTAAGAAGGCATCCAGGCAGCGGTTCCATCCTGTCATTAAGAAACCTTTGTGGTGAGTGCCCATTATAGTGAGCAGAAGCGTACTCAAGTCTTCGTACACGGTTGAAATTGAAGCTACAATTTTGTCTCAAGTGTTTTTCTGTGCTTCACTTAAGAGATTCAGGTGTTGAAAAAAAAACAATTTTTCAAAACAATATTTAGGTTACAGGTCCGAAAACAAACCCAGAATAACATGTGTTTGAGGTGTACTATTAAAGGTAATTGTTGTTTCTTCTGTAACATAATGACTGGGCATCCATTCGGGCGTAATGTTTTCATCTGAGCACGGCAGTTTGTCTCTCTATTTGCAATCTTTAACACCTGCAGTCCAAACTACTCAAAAATACATTGACACTGAGAAAGCCAACCTGGCATCAACTGTAGAAAATGGATTATAGCTTTGATTTTTCTGCTCTCGCACAAATTAAAGAATTTAGCAGATTCCTATTTAATCGGCAATCTGAGTTGACACCTCACATCATGAAAAGGTGTCTGATTTAAAAGCCGATCAGCGAATGGATTTAGCATGGATGGATTTTCTCAGGGATCTCTGCAATTACAGCAAGACTTGTAAATGAAGGATTAACACCAACATGCTTCATTCGTCTCAAGGAGAGGAACCTGATCTGAATCTGAACTTTAAAAGTTTTTGTCATGCTCTGGACTAGCAACAACTTATTCAAGAGCCCAGTCAAGAAGGTAAATTAAGTCAAACTGTTATCGATCCAATCTTGGTGTCTGATCACACTATGATTTCCCAGAGTGGTTGTAAATTGTACCTGGACTTACTCATTGATTTATTTAAGGAGAAAAAAAACAAAAGCTCCATCGTACAATCAGAATGATGTCAGCCAAGAACTACAGTCAAGATGATTTTATTGAGCACATGAATTCATCAAACAGGACTCTAGTACTATGTAATGCTGTTTATAAAGCGTGGGTGCACTTTAAATAACTGTTCTTAAAGCTGGTGGACAAAGTTGCTCCTAAAATGATAAACAAGGATTTAAACAATGGATGAATAGTGATGTTTTAGATGCTATTTACAAGAGAAATAAGGCCTTTTTAGCTTTTAGGTAGTCCGAAGGTCAGGCTGACTTGGATTATCACAAGATACAGAGAAATATAGGGCAAAGAAACTTTGTCAGTCTCTGCAACAAATTGGTTGCTGCAAAAAGCTCAAGACAAATAATATCTGTCTCAACATTAATAGTGAGCTTTCCTCTGATCGAGCCAAGGTTGCGGATAAATGTTTTGTTTTTTTCAATACTGTAGCCAAATAACTAGGCTACCGGGCAATCTAGGGATGTATGCTGGAAAATCGATGTTTCAATATAATTCACAACTGTGGACTCATTTGACCTTTCAATGGTTTCACAGGATAAAGTGTTAAAGACATTGAAAGATCTTCAGTGCTCTTCAGCAATTGGACTTGATAAAATGCCGGCCAGATTTAAATACATACATATACAATGATAAATAAATCATTCAGTGCAGATGAATCATTTTCATGATTAAAGCAGACACTCTGGCTTTGCTTAAACACTGTATGATCAGGGGGATGCATTTTAATCAGGTTTAAATCAATGCTCTTTTTAAATTGTCACATTAATCATGAATTATTACCTTTTTTAGATTTTAGATTAAAGTGAATTGGACAGTAAAAGCTAACATTATTATGGATTTCATGTATCTAGATGTTGCATGATGCATCTGTATGTATCACCAACAACAACGAATGTACAGTGTGAAGACATGTAAACAAGTGTTGTGTCCTCAGCTTAGCTTGATAAGAGTTGTAATCACTGTAGGTCATGTTTGATGAAGAGACAAAATATATCAGATAAAGAGACCCGGTGAATGATAATTACAGTAAATTATACGTTGTTTATGTTAATAGATAGTTATAATACATTATGTGAATTGACGAGAAAGTATTGGTGCTTCTTAAGATGGATAATGTGAAATCCTGTTAAAAAATAGAACACATATGCAAAACTGTAGATATAATCTATATGTTCCATCCTGGATTATGTGCTATGTTTGCTAAATTCTGTGAAATCATTGCAGGACAAAACTATTTCTGGATTTCCACAGTGTCAGACCCAGCCTCAGTACTTGAGAGCAAAGATGAATCACGATAAAACTGTTGTTATTTGTTTACTTCTGTGAATGCAAAGCTTCATCATACTTTGTAAATTAGGCTACTTAACTGTGATTTAGGAGTAAAGCAGATCTCCTTAATAAATCTTCCCTCCTTCCTTCCTGGTTTCTCTCTGCCTACTGCGTTAGTTTGAAAAATGAATGCGTCTTTGCAGGGGGGGGTTAGACTGACTGTGGTGAGAGGAGGAATCTAAATCGCATCTCATACTGTGGATGAGATACTTTGAAAAATAAAAGTATACCACAAATAACTTTGTTTCTCTTTCTCTCTCCAGCTGGTACCACGTACATCTTTGGAAAAGGTGGGGCTCTCATCACATTCACCTGGGCCCCCAATGAGAGACCGAGTACCCGAGCCGACCGGTTAGCCGTGGGCTTCAGCACTCAGCAGAAGGATGCCATCTTGGTGCGAGTGGAGAGCACCCATGGGCTCGGAGACTATCTTCAGCTGCACATAGTAAGTATTGGAAGCAGAGTTTGGGGCTATAAGCATTAATATCAAAAACACTTGAACTCACACTTGAAATCACACTGTGACGGATAAAAAATATAACTGTTAAAGGAGATAAAAAAATCAAATATGTTTTTATATGATTTAAAGCAATACCATGAATATTTGTGCACTTTTCTTGTGCATGACTTACATTTTCCAAAATGTGGAGGTAAATGTAGAAATGATAAACACAAAGAGATATGTTTTGTTCATATTTTAGCTTCTTTCAGATTTATCAATAAGACAATTGTGCATAACAACAGTGTCCTGCATCCGTACACTCTAAATCATATTTTAAGTATTTGAGAGCAAACATCATTATCTGTACAACAAGGCACAAGTAACCCTTAATAGCACTTATGGGCATTTCAATTGTGCTATTTAATATATTACCCTGTGAATATTGACCCAAATAAGCATTATATTCATGATTATAAAAGCATTGTCAAAAACACAAAAACAACAACACAACATCCTTAGATCTCCAGAAAATCAGGACAATGTGAAGTGGGCAGCTAACTGGAGCAGTGGAAACTAGTCCGCTCTGTCTGCAAACACCAAACGTTTACATCATTTCCTGCCATTGTCCACACATGCCTGAGCACATCAGTGAGCAACATTAATGAGCAGTATGTTACAGTGTTTGGAAGTAAGCGGCTGGTGACTAACATTGGAACTCGCACAAAATCCCCAAAAGAAAATACATTTCTTCAGTTTAGATATTTAGATGGCTCTGTAGGAATATGGGCTAAAACAACTGAATGTAGACGTACCAGCATTTTCAGCAGCATTCATGCAAAAGTTGTAAGCACAAAAAGGTATTGTGATAAAGTACTGATGCTACAAACTTGATTTAATGAAATGAAAAATAAATTAATTTAAAGAAACCTCTTATGATCTATTTTTACATTTTTCTTGAATGTGCCATTATTCTAACTTGGCACAGCATTTGTCACAGCTGGTATGAGCCCAAACATTAAGATAATATAGAAACTAAAAATATGATATACAATAAAGCACGAGTCAGTAGACCAAGAGATGTTTTTCTTGTGTTATACACGTGTCTTTCGGCGGAGCCAATTGACTTCTCAGCAGCTGCCAGCAACTGTGTCTTTCCTAGAGGGAAATCAGCCTTTTTTAGCATTTAGCCACAGGACAGATGTGCAAAGATGAAGACCAGAGGGGAGATCTGTCAAATGTCTGTGTGCGGTGTAATAATTAAAGTCACACCTGTTGTCAAAGCACAGTTAGTTAGTTGTAACCACCGAAAGAAAGCTTCATAAAATCACAGTCCTGATCCAAAAAAATAAAAATAGAAAGATAAAATGTAAAAGAAAAACTCAAACCATCTCTTCATCATTCCCCTCATTAATTTCCAGAGCACATTGCCTGTCGCTGTTCTTGTGATGGTTCGGATTGTTATTCAAATGTGCAAAACATGAGGTCATTTGAATGAATAAAAGGTGACATCACTCTCATCATTTATAGTCTTCCAGTCCAATCCAGTTCATGTTTTGATATTAACTTATATTCAGTTCATTATGGCCACCGTGGGGCCTTCAAAAGAGGGAAGCTGCGGTAGTATAATATGGACACTAATATCATAAAATAAAAATGGAAGCTGAGACATACTTTGTAACAAATTTCCGCCTGGTTTGAAAGTCTTGCTGCACTTATCAGTTACCAGACATGCTTGGTACAAATATCATCCCCTGGATGTTTTTCAAACTGTGTCATTTAAATAGAATTTCCGGTTTTAAAAGTGTGAAACTAACCTCGCCAGTCTTGGACTGTCGCTAGTAAATGCAAATACTGCTCCCTGCGTGCGAAGCCAGCTGAAAAGATTTTTTTTCCAGCATCTGCCAAGTCCTTGCACCCTGACAGATTGCTTACTTTAACACCGTATTACTGCTCAGCGGAGGGGAATCGAAAGAGTTCAGAGGGCGCTGAGGTTGCCTCTGTTGGTTTCTCTAACTAAGCTTCATAAAATTGCATCTTCTTGTTTTGTAGAGACCCAAGTTGTCATTTATTTATGTATATTATGTATTCTTTTAAAGATATTTTTTTCGGTATATCTGCTTTTTATTTGATAGTGACAGCTAGAACAGAAACAGGAAAGGCAGGGGAGAGAGAGAGGGGATGACATGCAGCAAAGGGCCCAGGCTGGAAGTGAACCTGGGCCGCAGCGGTAAGGTCTCAGCCTTGATACGTGTTGCCCATTGAAGTAGAGGTGAGGACAGAAAGAAGCAGCGGGTTACACTGGTCAAAACAACACTGGGAGAGTTGAAAATAGTAAAGGAGACAAATGATACATGAGTTTTAAATGCTTCAGGGATTTGGGGCTTTCAGATGAAGTGGCTTGGAACAGAATTCACTTCTTATAATCTTCCTGGGATATCTAGCCTTCCATCGAAACTACAATATGAGTAATATGAGAGTCTTAAAACAGGGTAAATCATGTTATAAATGGGTCAAAACTATTCCTTAGCAAACTACACTACACGTCATTATATTGTGTTTAATAGATGCTCTATTTGATCGTTAGAGCAATTGAGAAAAAACTTAGTCGACCTACTAGGTAGATCATTTAAAAAAAGATGATGTTCTCTTTGGCAGTGCTTATAGTTCTTCTTTGACATCACTTATTTGTAAAGGAGATTGCTGTATTAAAAGGGTCACATGGTTAATTGAAACTATGAATTTGTGGATGGTTCATACACAAGCTTCAGAGATTAATTACTCTGTACAAAATAAACCAACGTTATTCAGCAGAGAGAACATTAAGGAGAATAATGCTACTGTCAAATGTTCATGTTTTTAACGAGTCACTTAAAGCTGAAATGAAAACAGAGGGTTAATTGTGCAAAATGTTGACAATTAGAAGAAGCAGTGTTCCACAGAAGAGCTTCAAACTACAGTGGTTTGATGAAGTTATTCAGTAAGCTGATGAGGTTTTGTTGGACATCATTGATTATAGTAGGTTGATTTTTTGCCTTTTTTTATGCCTTGTTTTGGGGATAATGAGAGAGACAGACAGGAAAGGCAGGAGAGAGAGGATGACATGCAGCAAAGGGCCCTGGGCTGTACTTGAACCCAGGCTGCTGCGGCCTTAATGGTACACGCTCTACCCAATGTGCTACGGGGTGTATATCAGGAGAGTCGTTTCAAAGGCAGACCTCGACCTGCCTTCTGTATGTGCTCCACACGCATCTGGATTCCTCATTTCAAATTCAGGGTTAGATAAGTCAGGTACAAGACTGCGTGCTGTGGTTGTTATAACTATAAAAGAATATTTATTTTGTGTTCGCAATCAGAGTTTTTAGCAGAGCTGAAATACATTTTACATTACTGACCAGGTGTTTTCCGATAGAACTCATTTCTGAGAAAATATGTGCCTTTGATCACTTGGGAAATATGAAACGGTTCAAAGGAATTAGAAAACAGCTATTATAGTACATAGAGCAGTTTGAATTTTTTTAATTATTCATCACAATCTGTCATTTCCATCGAGTAATCTGCTTTCGAAAGAAAGGGATAGTAGCTTGTCTCCTGATAAGGTTTAAAAAAGCACTCAATTGTTTTTTATTTATTAGTTTCATTTGATGTTATTTTATGCTGAGTATGACAAGATATACTTTATTGTCCCGCAGGGAAATTTGTCCTGGGCTCCAAGCCGCTGCATCGTACAGTACAATCACCAGCGCCACAATCCACATGAACCCATAGAACATAGATCATACATACACTCGTGCATAAACGTGCTTAAATACACATGTCGACAATAGTTACGAATAATAAAACCAGGTGTGATCAACACAGGTAATAAATGAAGAGGTACTTTATCATATGGGAAAAGGAAAGATAAGAAGTCTCTGAATTCCCAACGCTATCGATGCAACCTCCCACCTGCTTCTGAAGAAAATGCTCCAGTAAATAGTTGAGTAAATCCAAAAGCAGAGAAAGACATTTGGCTGGTAACAAACTGAGACAGAGCGATATGCTTGTCTTCTTAATAAAATAATCATGATCTATCCAATCTATGCTCTGTTTAAAAATGCATCAGGTGGCAGTGGTGACGTATCAATAATTGTCAATGAGATCATGCTTTTTCATCTCAACCCAATTGAATCCTCATAATAATGTATCCTTTTAATAATCAGTCCTTTCCCTCCAATATGAAAGAGGAGGCTGTAGCTATGATGAGAACTGAGATCCCACACTGAAAGCAGTGGAAACAGGGTATACTCCAAGGAAATGCTTTCTCCATTAGAGCTGATGTCAAAGCAACTATGGTTGCGTGGCTTTTCATGAGGATATGCCTGACTAGCTTTGAACCCAAACACATGGGCATTAAGAAAAAAGTGAGTTGGATCGGCCAAGCTTTTGTTTACTGAAGCTGGGCTGCAGCAGTGTTGCTTTGCCAGCTGTCAAAAGGTGCTTTGGGGCTGTTTTGTAATCATGCAGAAAGACTTGAGTAAGCAGAATCGAAGTAACTCTTTTGTTGAAGAGTGTTCTGGCCCTGGAGACGTTAATTGTTGTCCAGAGGACATGGGCTGAATTTTGACCTGAGGCCGCACTACCCTGTAGTTTCCTAATGAATACTCATCGGTTCGCTTCTTGGGAAGAGTGATTAAACCATAAACAAACTAATGTGCAGAATCTAAGTAAGTAAGGGACGCAAGAGAGATTTCTTACAGACAATTAAAGGAACATAAATATTATGTATGTAAAAAAGGGTCATGGTTTCTCAACATACATTTGTATAATATAGTGTGACTGCTGTTTCCCACTAACTCAATACTGACTTTAATTATCTCCATGTTTCATTGTGAGTAACTGTGAGTGGGTAGACATTTGTCATGAAGGGGTTTTAACTTCTTTTTGACTTGTGTGAATTTGATTATCCAGCTGTACTTCACGTGCCATAAATTAGTCACACATTGCCTTCTCCTGGGTTCATGACGACTTTCAAGTGATTGCAGAATACAGAAGAGAGAATCCAAAGAGCCATCGACCTGTTCCTGACCTTCAATATGACGGCTGTTTGGAGATAGAGCTCTGTTATATGAAATAAGTTGATTTCTCAAGTTTAACAGTATGTTATTAATGGCACCTTCAAGGTCTATGAGGACAGTCCACACTTCTGTCTTTAACACCAACTGTGTCGGAATAATTATTTCAAATTCAAAGGTTTTCTAGAAGTATTTTACATATGATTAGGGGTGAGAGCAAAGCTCTGAGGCAGCTTTTACATCCCACAATAGCAGCCATCATCAAGTTAAGAAAAGAAGTATTTCTGTCTACATATTTCAATTTCTGGTCTTTCAGTCAGTAATACAATATTTAAAGAATGAGAGAAAGCGAACAATCACTTAAAGCAATAGTCCTACTAGTACCCTGACATACTCATAGCAGGTTAGAATTTCAGGTTGTGAGGGAATTCAAATATCTTTGTGTGTTAATTGACTCTAACCTCTCCTTCAAGTCACATGTTAAAAAAACAACTATAAAAGGGTCCAGTTCAATTTAGCAAATTTCCGATTCATCAGAAATCACACGTCTCCAGAGGCTTCACAGATCTCTCTGTTTCTACATTCTATGATTTTCATTCATCTGAACAACTGTTTAACAAGCTGGTCACAGGCCAAAGTACACTGAAACTACTCAAATCACCATACCAACTAGTACTCAAAACACTAGATGTAAAATGAAAGCACTTCCATCGCTGCATGTATATATATATATATATATATATATATATATATGAAAAATGAATGTTTGTTTTTTTACCATGTGTGTTTATTAATTTACTTTGTCCCTTTCCCTCTCAAATAAACTGAACTACACTTAAAAATGTGCTGTGGAAGTCGGTTCTGACCAGGGAATCAAAATATGACTGTGGGAGATATTTATGTCTATAAAGCTAGTAAATAATGTGTACACCATGTGCCATGCAGGACCAGCAGTGTGCAGGATTTCATTTCAATAAAACACTATACCAGCCAATTTCACTGTTTGCTTCCTCTCGTCTCTCTGCCTGAAGGTGTGATATAGTGCAACCAGCTGCCGAAGGAGAGGCTTAAATAAAAACCTGCAGACTCTTGGCCCTTGATACTACACAGCTGAATGAATGAGGGTATAGCTACACAGCCTGAAGGTCACTTATTATTAGCATTGTGTAACGATAATGCGGTTTTAACTATGTGCACAATATGCTATTGTGCATTTGAGACATACCGTACAGGCACTCCATAACCACAATCAATTACAATGTGATTTGGTTTGTCAACCTTTACTGTTGCACCTAACCTTCAGACTGAGAAAATGTGTTCCGTGTCCTACTGTAATGATGAGCCTCCTCCCACTTTGTAGGATTTTTATATTATTTGTATTTTCATCATAGTTACAAAGGTTATTGCAGTTCAACGGTTTATAGTCAGCAGAGTTAAAGTGCAATGTCGTGCTAATCGGTGTACTCCTGCAGATGTATTTGCTGTTTCTCACAATGTCTCCACACATTAGCACTTTGACCTTGTGTTGTATTTAGAGAGACTGCAAGGCAGCGAATGTACAAAGGCCAGAGAAGCACAGAGACCCCACACAGTTTGTTTCCAATGTTTCGTATTAGTGCCCCCCAAAGGGTGAGAAGCATCTTTGATCTTTGAGGGAGGTTGGCAGGAGCAGGGAGAGGCTGACAGGGAGTTGGTCAACCAAAAGGGAAGCAGAAGGATTCTGTCAAGAGTGATCCACATCAGGAAACCTGAGCTGCTTGCTGAGGGAGAACGATGCTGAACCCTAAAGAAAGAATTAAACAGACTGTCCATGTCGCAAGAGATGGGCTTTTGCCACTCAAACAAGGTTTCTGGCTCGACAACCCATTGAGTAGAGAGACACTTCATAGTGTGCACATTTTGAGTTAAAATGATGTGAGATATTTGTTAAACATGTCACATTCCTTTTTCCTTTTTTTTACCTGCAGGATCAAGGAAAAATTGGTGTCATCTTCAATGTGGGCACAGATGACATCACCATCGATGAGCCTGCTGTCATGGTAAATGACGGCAAGTACCACGTAGTGCGCTTCACACGCAGCGGTGGCAATGCCACTCTCCAGGTGGACAACCATCCAGTCATTGAGCGTTATCCACCAGGTAATGGACTTATGGGACAGACTATGTGGTTATATGAGACATAGAGAGATGGCATGGAGCATTTGCATTACTGAGAGAGGATTGCATGTCTGCCTATGAAACATAAATCCTTAAATGAGCGCTTGTGAAATCTACTGTTTGCCAAAGAAAATACTGTATATACATATATATTGGCAATTTACCTATCGCTCTATAAGCTATCTATGAAGTTGCCACAGATATTACTGGACATGCTATATTGCATAAACAACATAATTAATACATTTGTCTCTAGCTGCCCAGTTAAGTATATCTAGCAATGAAGGAATTTCATCAGCCACTGTCCTTCTGGCAGCCAGTTGGGCCGACAGGTGGGAAAAATACAGAGTATGGCCCAAGCGGCATCTATTTACAACAGATGTAATACTTATGTGGTTCAAGTTCTATATAAGTCTAAAATAATATTCATCTATTTGTTGTTAATCCACCAACCACTGGTCCAGGTCTAAAGAGACAGTTTTATATGTAAATATGTTGCTATTAACTCAGCTGATAAATTCTTGTTGACAATAACAATTCTGTATTGAAAATGCTTGAATCTACATCCATCTGGTGAACTCTATCAAGGGGATCTTTCTATGATGTCTGTTTCACATGAACAGACGGATGGATTTGGCTGCATTTATACTGTTTTCTTATAGGGCTCAGCTCTTTAATGACCAAGTCATATTAGTGTTATATATTTCAGTGTTGTGTTATGTTTGGTGCGCAGGTAACTGTCAGATGCTATTAATTAAAATATCATACATATACATAAATACATTCATAAAAAGGAGGCTAAAAGTGTTATCTTGGTATATATTTCAGGTGTCATCGTGTCCTACGCAAAAAAATTATCAATTCCATATTTGGAAATTATATTGATGCATTTTATTCTGGCCTACAGCTGTTGGAAAATTCAAATAAATTCAATGCATGGCATCTAATATGCATCCTATGTTGACTAGATCCGCAGAAGCTCAAAGGCAAACATACAAAATGAAGACAAGCAGGAGATGCGTCCTGCGCACACAGATTTCCACTGTCCAAAAGGTTTAAAGCTCACCCACCATTGTGCACTCATACATAATATACACATAGACCAAAACAAACCACATACATAATGTTATTGCGACCGGCTGTGCTTTAACCTGCTCTGAACCAATCAACCAATTAACCTTATTTAGAACAGGTGCACCAGCTGGCATAGCGGGAGGAAACCAAGTCCCCTCTCTGCCTCCAGCTGGTGCTCAAAGCACAGACGCACATGTCACAGTTGTACATAAATCAAAAATTGTGTAATGGTGCTGGCCATGCGCGTAGTCTATTGATTCAATGTCAAGCTCCCACTCAGCAATCAGTGGTTTATGAAAGATTTCTAATGGTAAATGAATGACGCACATAGCAGCAATCATAAACACAGGTTGTGCTGTAAAGGGAGTGTCACAAAAGTAAAAGGAAACATAATTGATCTTTGTTTGGCTTTAAATGGTCATGAAATTTATAATCTGCATCATGTCTTAACATTTATGTAAGGCAAAAACACAGGGACACTGCTTTCAGCTCTCTAAAGGCTCAATAAATGTGTCACTTCTTTAAAACCTTCACTGCATTAAAGCTTCCAGTAAAACCATAGCAGTTTAATCGTCATGCACTGTCATGTACTGTGCCTGCTTTTCCATGTTGCGCTGTAATCCTAATGCATTCATTGTCCAACAACATGGTTGACTCCAAACGGTTATTTATTTCTTTATTCTTCATTACATTTGCATTCATAATATGTGGGCTGTAAGATAACCAGTTTTTTTATAAACTCTATATAGAACAAGGCATAATAATAATAATAATCAGACAATATATACAAAAATACAGTAATAAAAAACAGCTAATGCATAGTAATACATAAGCAATCATTTATGAATAGTGTCAACAAGAATTTACCAGTAAAGTCAGAACCTTGTGGCTGATGAATGACAGAACCTCTTCAGTGCTAGATCAGTACAAGATTGAATGAAAAGTATTCATGGAACTAATATTAACTGGGCAATTCATAGTGTTAATGTTTGTATGAAACAGTATATTTCCTGTAGTAGTTTCCATTCGACGAATTGCTCTTCTGTGTTTGCATGTGTTAAATAGAGAGCTGAAGTCTTGTGTCACTTGAGAGCAGCTTCTGTCCTATTAGCCCGGATTCCACCATGTAGTTTTGCATTAAAAAAAAGTAATATCTTTCCAAATACTGAAATGAGGTATTGGTGTTAAAGCTGAATGTTTATCCACTACTGGATTAGTCTAGAAGTCTGGTATGAAGACTATCTTTTTTAGAATTCAACGGCTACAACTCCCATGATACAGACCTGCTGTCAATATGTCATGGGAACTGCAGTAAAAACACATTTTATATCACGTAGTATATTATAAAATATATTGTGGAACAGAAGTGGGGTAAGACCTTGGCCCTCTATAATGACTATATATGTGTATATATATATATATATATATATATATATATATATATATATATATATATATATATATATATAATATCTGTTTCTGCTGTAATTGTATCACTGTCTAAATGCAATAACTGTTTCCTGTCTTTGTTGAAGTGGCCGATTTTCTTAATGCTTTGTTTACCTGAATTAACCTCTTTTTTACAGTACATAAAATAAGTATATATTTGACTGTAACTGGTATTTACTTAAGATTACACTTTGTTTAAAAAATAGCTAAATAACTCTAACTAGTGTAGCATATTGTAAATAGCCTAAACGTTACTCTAATTAGTATTAATGCTGTGACTCATAATAACTAGATAACAGTAAGTGAAGCACAAGTTTCTTTTAACTCACATCTGGGTTAAATTGATAACTTGTTAAACCTGCTAATGTTTCTAACCATGTGATCTTTCAGCTTGCAGACTTTAACCTTTAATCTGTCTCTCCAAATTCTTTGAAGGACACTATGATAATGAGCGACTGGCTATTGCCAGACAAAGAATCCCATACAGACTTGGTCGGGTAGTTGACGAGTGGCTACTCGATAAAGGTAAAAATTAATTGATGAATTAATTAATCCTTGAAACAACTACTAAATAGCCTTTCCCCTTGAGGAGGTGCAGTGCCAGAAGACAAGGTTGACAAGGATCAAGTTACCCACTTGTATACATCCGTTTTAATTTGACTTTCTATTGGCTATGAATTTTGATGAGCACAATATAGCTTCAAGTGAAAATAAGTGTAAAAGCAAAGGGGTATATCATACTTGCCTTTTATTCTTTGTCATCCTTACACCTTGTGGAAAAGCTGCACCTTAACAAAGATTTTAAACCAATAACTAAAAACACATAACCCTTGTCTAACCCTCTATCGTCCCTCTTAACCACTGTGTGTAATTAGATCCTGTGTGTAATTATTCTGCATAAATATCATTTAAATGCTGTGCAACATTTACATTAACACCAGTAAAACTAACATGTGACATAAGAAGACTCTCATTACTCCTAAACTGAATATTTTAAAACATAACTCCTAGATATGATCACACCAAATTTCATTTATTTTCCCTTTCTTGTTCCCTGCAACTTTGTATTGCCTTACCTACGTCGTATTACAACGGCCACGTCAGCGTGCCAAGTTGAATTATTTTTGTTTTTGCTGCAACAAAACAGCCCCGACAGGCTGTTAAAGTAGATCGCTGTTTGCAGCCAATAACTTTGCTAATAAGTATTCTTCAGAGATAGGCCCATTACTGCAGTCCTCCTCCTCTGATGTAACACTGCTTATCAGTGAGGCTGCTGACAATGATGCTGTTAGAGATATCATTGCCCCTTTCAGGAAGGTGAAACCATTGGACAAGGGGGCGCCCGATGGCTGATTAAGTCAGTGAAGGGAGGGGTGTTTAGCTTTTATTGTCATTAAGTCTGAAGTATAGTAAGACAGCCATTTTGATAATTTGCCCATCTCTTCAATAAGATTTGCATCCCTGCACCATCTGTTCTGGAGTTGAGAGATAAATAAATATCCTAGAAAAACATCTGCTCTTTTTTCCCTACTGATGAATGAAGAAACCCTCTCCGGTCAGTCTCTGTTTTGTCTTAAATTAATGTATTTATTTAAGTATTGGTACCAGGAAACAGCTTGCTAAGCCCCCTCCCTACTAGCTTAGTTATACCCAAGCTGCCACAAGAACAAGGTTATAAAGAGAGGCGTCTTCTTAGCTATCTTGTCTTTCTTAATTAAGAAAACCAAAATCTAGTCAGAACGAGTTCCCAACAAGCACATCTGAAGAAATTTAGTCACAAGGTCTGATTCATTCTTCTCTTCTTTACGTCTAGACGAGACAGTCTGAACCTTCTTTTATGTCAAAGATTGCAATGCCCCTTTGGAGTTATTCAACAGATGAATTAACAGTGATTCAACAATTTTACATATACATTTCAGTAATTTTCTACCACACCTACTGACAGTTTGCGAACTAGAGTCATAATTCTAAATGACTCTGTCCTATCAAAACACTTAAATAGACACCTAAATACATAACCCTCCTCTGATGGTTGTAAGCTGCATGTGTAAAGTTTAAAACCATAAAGCTGCTAACTAACCCCCTTTTAAAGTTAACATCTAACTAAGTTTTAAATAAATTACTAAGTATCAGTGTTGTAATGAGCAAACCCACCTGGTTCACGTTATGTTCTTGTGCTCTCCTGTATAACTTCTGTATATCTGCTCCGCTGTTCTTTCCCTTTTTCCACCTCTTTCTTTCTCTATGACTCTGTCTGGTTTTAGGGAGACAGTTGACCATCTTTAATAGCCAGGCAGCTATTAAAATTGGTGGTCATGATAAGGGTCGGCCCTTCCAGGGTCAGATTTCAGGGCTCTACTACAACGGTCTCCAGGTGCTCAAACTGGCAGCAGAAAATGATGCCAGCGTACAGGTGGAGGGGAACCTGCGTCTTGTCGGGGACTCGCTCTCTGTGTTGACCACCGACACTACGTCCGCCACCCCGATGGCGGTGTCCGATATGTCTACCACAATCATGGAAACCACCACCACCATGGCTACCACCACCACCCGTAGGCAGCGATCACCCAGCTTGAGGGAGAGCATATCAAAGGTCAGAGGGAGTATAAAGGAAGGCTAATTCATTGACAGTTTGAAGTTAATTGGTTTATAAGTTGGATGAGGGTTGTTGTCACCACTTTTCAAGGAGGTAAACGGGACTTTAATTCAATTCAATGTTTCAATAACAGGAAGCACTATAGCAATGGTTAATGATTTTCAAATTAAGTCGTTTTTTAGAGATGGGGGCTTTGTGTTGTTTTTCAAAAAACTGTTCTTGTTGCACATATTTATATATACATTTAAGAACTTACATTGATGTTCTGTTTTTCTATAGTATTGAAAATTAACTTCGGAAAAAGGATCTTTAATTCCTTCTTTAAAATTGAAAATGGTTAATTGAAAGTAAAATATCAAATATCCTTAAATTGGTCTCCTTTTCTGATTTTAAAGTTATTAAGACTTGAGCAGCGGTTAGGTATTCTCTTTTTTTAATCATGACAGAAGTTGCTGGTAAAGCTTGAACTATGAACACACCACAGAGGAGTCCCAAGCAGTTATTACCTATAGATATGCATATGGTCATCACTGGAAACTCAAAAGATTCTTATACAATGATAACATTCATATTTATAATTCAAATCAGATTTACCTAATTGTCAAATGCATTGCACAAATGTAAAATGACATAAGTGATAATTATTAGAATAAAATGTCACATAAATCCATGAAATAATTGTGTGCATGCAATTACAGCAGGTTTGGTCCTACATATCTGATCTTGCATAATGTGTTATTTATTTCCAAGTGTGCTAGAATAATAATAACATTTATGCTTCTATATATTTTCGAACTAGCACAGCTATGCAAATAAGGCCTTTTATTGAATACATTTGAATTTTACTGCATCCAGAGTGGTGAACACTACCAACCACCATTTCAAATGACTTGATTTAATCCCAATGCTGCAAACCTGCCAAATTGGAAGGGTTTCAGCAGTTGTATATGGAGTCCTGAGGTTTCAAAGAAAAATCTCCTTGCCTCTCCTATAAAAAGAAATACAGATTGCATTTTTCATTACATTATCTCTTATCCAGCTTCCCCCAAATTGCCTTCTCTGTATTTTCAATATATCTAAGTAATCCATTTGTGAACCATCTGTTTCTCGCTCGGCTCAGGTATTCTGAGTCCACTGTGCACCCTAAAATGCAATTTAGACATATTTCCTGATTTAGCAAATACAAATTTGTTATTTCAAAATGAATATAAAGAGTTTTCAAAGACCAAACTGTATGAATTAAATGAAAACATGCACAACATTTAGCCTACTGAGAATATCCTCTCCATCAGTACTTTGTTTGTAAACAAATAAAGTCAGCCTCAGGGGTGAAGGATAAAGAGCAGCTGCAGATGAGCACATTTTGGATTTGTAGTCTTACTAGTCTTGCTCCAAGCAGAAACATAAAGTGGTGGAGTGCTGCATGTTGCAGTTTTTCCTCAAATAGGACAGTCAGCCAGCAAAAAACAGAACTCAGCACAAATCTAGATGATGGGAATGTTGAATGTGTATTTGTTAAAAACAACACAATTTCTCCATTTTCCTTTCAGCCGCAGAACTCTGATGATATTTTGGTAGCATCAGCCGAGTGTCCGAGTGATGATGAGGACCTTGAAGAGTGTGAACCAGGAACAGGTGGGTCAGCCATGGCAAAAAAAGATGGGAGTACAGCTTTCATCCACCGGGATTGTAGACAAAACACACTGACTTCAAGCAGCCATAGTTATTTTCAAATTTTCAATTCTCCTTTTTTTGTTTCATGTATGCTGTCATTTATTCAGCGGTTTTGTCAAACAGCTGTCATCATTTGAATAGTTGTAACATATTCAACTAGACCAGGGGACTCAGTAGAGTGCAGATATTTGTCAGGTGTGTCTCCAAAAAACCACAGCTGTAATGTTTGATTGAATGAATACAAACCACAACTGCCCCCGATCTAGACCGCAAGTGTATCAGATGCGTTTTTTACTCTGCACGTCTCACACAAAAGATGGGTTCTCATTTCAATCTGCACCGGCTCCTTGTAGCTAAACTGCAGTTCAATGTGTAACGCTTCATGGTGACTGTTTCAAGCCTCTGTTATACTGCATATACGGTCTCACGGACGTGAGCTGATGCGGAATGTTGGCGAGAAAACGTTTAGATCTTCGTTTACTCCGTGCTGATTTCTCCTTTTGGCAAACCAATATTCTCCCAAACTGTAGGGTGCAATGTATCGAAAACTTTGTCTACAACATGGTTTCCGCCCATCCACATCTGCATTGCTCATTGCTCAGACAGGCGTATACCCACCGCACATGATCCCCACGAAAGGACATGTCTGATAGTGTGACATCACTTTGGCTGTGCGGACACTCTTCACCCTCGCAGATGAGTCAAGCATACAGTAAATCAAGCTTAAGGGCACATGCGCAAAAATCTGCCAGGTAAAGAGTAGTGAGTTAGCAGTCAATCAATCTCAGTGTGAAACAGTAAATAAAATACGTTGTCAATAAAAAAAAAGTGTGAATCACTGCAACCACGAGAGGTCCTTGAGCATACAGTCATAAAGGAGAACAAAAATATTAGGCTGATGGGTGCAGCACTATAAAAGATTATCCGTGGACGGACAGACACAGATATGCACACGTATGCTCGCACACATACAATTGAATACATGATCTCCTGGCTGAGATAACTAGCATCAGTTCATCCTGTATATTAGCTGTTAAGGCATGTCTGTAACTCACCAAATTGGATGGAAGAAAATCTTTATGAAGTGTGCTGCAGTCATTAGGAGTGGAACACAGCAGACAGTAGATCAGGCTTGTGACACGAACAAGCTGTGGAACTTAGGCAGGAGTCTGCTTTATTATGGGTGCCTCAATTATTAATATGACCTTATCAGAATTGTTTGTTGTTGACTGGCCCTGCAAAGTGTGACTCAAATAATGATGCAAGAGAACCAAGTGATCCTATTACCTCAGAGTCAGATCAAAGGCAAATGTCTAAGTATTGTGTATACAGGAAAATAAATATATATATATAGCTAAGGATATCAGGGGTTTATTTGGTGAGGAATCTACCTCCAAATAGTGATTGATAAACAGGACACACTGTTTGCTTTCAATAAGCCACAATATTACACGTCTGATTCCTGCATAAAATAACCTGTCTGTGATTTCTCTTGTCACCCCTTAACCCCTGCCTACAGATGTGTATACAGCAGCATGGCGAATTAATTTGCTGTTCTTTTGCTTGTTAATTGCTCTGTTTATAATATGCTCTTCATTCAGCTGCCGCCTTTCATGGGTCATCTTGTATGTTTGTGTCTACATGTGAGCTCTTTAATGTTCTTGCTGTATTGTATTATTTTTTCACAATATTACACATTCTCAATCTGCACACCCACACATTGACTCATAAGAATCGAGAACTGCATACGTCGTTCAAGAATGGTGGTTTTAATTAGTTTTTCTCTTCATGTGCCAAATGTTGTAAATAATCTAAATTATAGAAGTCAGCGTAATATGTGTGATCACTATGAATAATATCACTGATAAGCCAGCTAATATTTGTTTAATTCCTCAGTAATATTCTACATAATGATCAGATTTTGCCTCTTTTTTAATGAGCGCAACTTTGCTGCCAGAATTAAAATGTTAACGCTGTTCTAATTTAGGATCCCCTACCTTTTCTGTTTCCTTTCTAGGAGGTGAATTAGTGTTGCCTATTATAACAGTGGATTCCCTTGAGCCCCCATCCATCGCCACCCGTTACCCTGTCATCCCTCCTCCCCCAACCCTCCTATCCCCACTTGAAACCACCAAAGAGTCCTTGATACTCCCTCCTCACCCTTCCTGCCCCCCGGACCAGGAGGACTGTGGTGACCCTGTGGAGGTCTCGGCCTTTGGCTCTGGGGAAATGACGGAATCAGATGACGAAGACTTTTACAATAATAAATCCCCAATGGTCACTGACAGGACAGTCCTTCCTCCACCTCCCACTGCTGGTGAGGGTGGAGCCCAGAAACCCCGTCCCATACCTCCTTATGTTCCCACCACCAACCCTGACCAGCTCCACATCCCCGCAGGCAAAATGAACACCCGTGACCAGGTGCTTCTTCCTCCTGCTCCTCCTTCTTCCCGAAACACACCAGGGCTAACTTACCCCCCCAATTTTCCTCATGTGCCCACAGCCAATCCCACAGCCTCTGATGAAAAGAGCCAACCCGGTGCCGTGGAGGTGATCAGGGAGTCCAGTAGCACCACGGGGATGGTGGTTGGTATTGTGGCTGCTGCTGCTCTCTGCATTCTTATCCTCCTCTATGCCATGTACAAGTACCGCAACCGGGACGAGGGCTCCTACCAGACAGACCAGAGCCACAATTTTGCCAACAATTCCACTGTGGAGGGCAACGGGGCAGTAGTCAAAGACAAAAGCACAGCAACGGCCTCTGTGGCTAAGGCAATCACAAAGGGCAAAAAGAACAAAGACAAAGAATATTACGTCTGAGAAGGGATAATGACAGAAGTGTGGACTGAGACAAGAGGATGAGAGAGGATGCTTTCGTTTCGCTCCCCGATTTTGTTGGGTCGACCATCAGAGAAATTTCACAGGCCACAAGAAACAACTGCACAAAGCAATGCTTGCTTTCGACAATTGCATTTTTTCTCAAAAGTCAAGGTTGCCCAGCTCCTATTAGTGAAAAAAATCCTCATATACAAGACATGATCTGACTAATTATCTGGGTCACAATGTGCACTCAGTCTGCATTCACCAATTCTTTGTTAGTGTATCATTTGTATGTCTTCAACGAGCGAGGCAGAGGCATACCCACTTTGGCTTTGTATATAGCATGGTACAGTGAAGGGCGTGCTGAGAACATCCGGACAGATTTGCCTAAATGTTTTCTTTGTACTTCTTTGTAATACTCTATCTCAAGTCTCAATGTCCCCATTATGATATATGAAGCAGAACAAGCCAGTTATTGAATTGTTATGGTAGATGAGCAGAGAGCACTGCAGTAAGTCTGACTACACTCGAAATAAAAGCCCTTATATTTGGATAAGACATCATTTCTACAGCCTCCATGTTAGGTTACGTAGTTTTAAAACTCCCCAGTGACGCTTCCTCTGTCCACAAGAGATGGTATTATGTTTCTAGTGCAGTATCATGAAGGAAGCATGATATTTAGCTCTCCGGGAGAAAAAGACAGCATTCTAAAGGGAATATTGAATCACTTAATATAGTCTGGGCAATGAACCTTATAGTATGATGGATCAGAAACATTATTTATGTGAGATATCACAGTCAGTTTTCCCTGCCAGTATTCCAAATAGGGACAATTGTGAACAAGTCAGTCTACACCAGTGAAGGTATTTCTCTGTAAACATTGCTTGTAAATGTACATATAGAGGTTAGCAGATTGAAAAAGCATTGTGTACGCAGGGGAGCAGGTGTGAAGAAAATGAACGTGCGAGATGCTCTCCCCCCCACACCCCCACACACACGATAGTGCAATGACGTCAAAATTGCTGCCGCCCGAACTTCACAAGACTTTGGCTGGGAAACCTCGTTTCGAGGTTTATCTTGTTGGAGCAACCTCCCTCACCAGAGGCTGGATCACTCTTGATCTCCTCCTTTCTCAAAACTGTTATGGGATCATTTAAAAAGCACACAGAAAATGTAAACATATCTTTGAGACATAGATATACCTTGTAAAGCAGCCAAACATGTATTGTTTTTTTCTATCAGTTACTAAAAGACTATCCTATGAGATGAATAATTGAAGGTTTGTGAATCGTATTGATATTTCTCTGATATTTGATGTATCTTGTTACCACTCCTCTTGACACGTTACATTTTTAGATTGCCTTTTACTTAAATCCAGACAAAAAGCACACTTTCCTCAGATAGCCGCAAATACCTTTTGTTTTTGCATTATTTACGGTTCAGATTATGCAGAGAAAACACAAGGATGGAAAAAAAACAAATGTTTTTTTTTGTTGCATTGTGCATTTTTTTATGTGCTGAATCTGTTACTCAATGGATCTGATAATATAAAGCCATTTTCTCTGTTGAATTATGTCTACATTTACTTATTCATGCTCTGTGATTTCCTGTTATTTTTTATGAAAGTGCCATTCAACATGAGCTGCTCAGCGTTCAGAAAATATTCCATTCCTCACTCATTGCTATTGTATAGTGTTCATGTGAAATGGATCTTATTAATATATGTACAGAACGTGGATAAAGATGAAAATACACTTGATTATATACTTTGTACACACCTGTGTTGTGTGTTGCTTTTTTTTAGATTCACAAAGAAAATGCACTTTATTTGCCCTTCATTATTGAACACAGACAAAAATGAATTGAAAGGTGAAGGGAATTCAGTGTGACTGACATGAATTAGGATTTCAGGTACAGTTGTGGTATAAATAACGGTATACGGCCACCATTTTCTAAAATGAATGTTATGTACTTGTCTGTCTACTCGTGATTAAGCTTTTGGAGTTGTGAATCTATTAGGATAAAATAAACACAATGAATTATAAATGAAGCAATTTTATAGGGGTCACACTTTGCTAACAGGACAAGTTAACACGTTTAACATGAAAAAAAAATGCATTTTACATCACATTGCAGGTCATGATGTGTTTTAAAAATGTGTCTTACACTTCAGTTTCATCATCATCCACTCTCTCTCTCTCATCCTCCCTCGGGCGCTGCGTAGTTCTGGTGTGTTAGTGATGCCTGAATGTCCAGTATTTATTATAAAATAAAATGTTTAATTGTTATCGCTGCACCTTACACCTGCTGCTGTCTAGATCAGGTCTCCAATTAAAAAATAATATTTGACTGAGGCTGATTTGGACACATGAAGCTTGAAATACCCTAAATATTAAGCTATTTGAATCCCGGTAAGGGCCACTAATGATTCACAGCAAAGTGTGATCGGGTCAGGTCACGGCCTTTGTTGAAAGTGACATCGTTTGAGTCCATTATTAACAGTGGTGTATAGTTACTTGTAGTAAAAAGATGTGCTGGTCTGCCAGACAAAGAGAAAAAAACTTTAAATGTCGGGCGGTGATGGAGCCAGTTTTGTGAGAGCTTGACCTATATTAGGGGACTAGAAAGTCAGCATATACTGTATCGGCCTCTGTTGCATTGATTTTATTCATTCTTTCTTTTCCATCGGTCTCTGCAGTTTCCTAAAATGCAATGCTAAATTTCTGGAGAACTCCTTTTATAAGTAGAGAAAGATATTGTAACTACCATATTGAACATTGTTAGTCACAGAGTGACATACCATACCACTAGTGACGTTTACAGCATTTTGTCTGTATCACATGAATCCGTTTTTCATAATTGCTTTTTGTCCAGTAAATATTAAACTATAATATGCATATGTATGCTTTCCAGCATAAATTGTGTTATATGCACAATACGCAAATCAAGGCAGAATATCTAATTATCCAAAGGTATTACCGTAATTTCATTAGCCCTGTCCTCTGGATTGCTTTGTGTCCCTACTTGCTGGTTATTTCCAATAAAAATAAAAAAAGATCAGCATTCTGCTTAACATCCTCAACCATCTCTTGGATATAAATGAAAATCAGTATGCTTGTCAGGATTAGCATGTTTTGTGTTGTTTGACTACCCCCTGCTGAGAACTCAAGGAACTGTAAGGAACTGTCATCAAACACCAGAGTGATGTGATGTATAGGCTCTAGTTGCCCCCACTAAAGCAGCCATCATTTATTCTGTGAGAGCAGATGAGGTTTATCACTAAAGACAGGAATTTAGAGGGATTGTATTTCAAGCCAGCAGGGTCAGCTGTCCCATTAGCCTATTTGGACTGAGACTGATGGGGAACAATCCTGTGGGCTAAGTGAGGTGTGGTGTCAGTGCAGGTCTAGTCTGATCTGTGCTGACAATGGGTATCAAGGGGAGTGGTTGCAGGACACGATAAGCCACTACAGAGCATTGCTGAGATGTCACAAGCCTAATTCAACAAAACAGCTGTGACAAGAGAAGCCCAGATGACAACCGGTATGTTGCATCCACTCTGACCTATACCTCTGTTCCCCTAACATCCAAGCCAGGTGTGAGTATTTGCCCTATAGTTTTTCTGAGCTTATGAACTGTTAAACATCGCTATTTGTAGAATATAATTTAGATTCAAGGTTGTTATAAATTACATTGTTGGGTCCAAGCAAAAAATGCGGCAGTGGTGGAATGTAACTAATTCTCTGATTGCATTATTATTCCTTCCCCATGTAAAACTGTCAAACCAAACAGAAGACTGGCCCAAGATGGTGATGGGGTTCGTGTGAGGCCACTATCTCTTCAGTTGAAGAGAAACATAAAACTCAAGAGACTGAAGCTGTTTCTATAAACAAAATTTACCTTTTGGGGTATTTTTCTTGCAATTAAGATAAATCAGTGATCATTGTTGCCGAACGATACCTCACACAGGTCAGGATCACACACCTTCATAAAAACAGCCCCTGCTGGTGCTCGACACCATCGATATACAGTGCCTTGCATAAGTATTCACCCCCCTTGGATGTTTCATCCTTTTGTTGCTTTTATACATGAAATAATGGTCAATATAATTTGGCTTTTTTGACAAGAATTTGCAAAAAAAACTCTTTAATATCAAATTGAAAACAGATTTTTACAAAATAATGTCAATTAATTAAAAATATATAAGGTAAAGTGAATGATTGCATAAGTATTCACCCCCTTCAGGTCAGTATTTAAAAATGCACCTTTGGCTGCAATCACAGCACTGAGTGTGTGTGGTGGATATGTCTCACTCAGGCTGGCACATCTGGACACTAAGATTTTTCTCTATTCTTCTTCAAATCAGCTCAAGCTCTGTCAGGTTGCTCAGGGATCGGGCGTGAACAGCTCTTTTAAAGTCCAGCCACAAATTCTGGATTGGATTGAGGTCTGGACTTTGACTTGGCCACTCCAGAACATTCACCTTGTGGTCTTTGAACCATTTCTGTGGAGCTTTTGCTGTATGCTTGGGGTCGTTGTCTTGCTGGAGAATAAATCTTCTCCCAAGTTGTAGTTCTCTTGCAGACTGAGTCATATTATCCTCCAGGACTTGGCGATATTTTTCTGCATTCATGTTCCCCTCTACCTTTACAAGCCTTCCAGGGCCTGCTGCTGAGAAGCATCCCCAGAGCATGATGCTGCCACCACCATGCTTCACGGTGGACATGGTGTGTTTGTGGTGATGTGCTGTGTTTGGTGTTCACCAAACATAGCGTCTAGTCTGATGGCCAAAAAGCTCGCTTTTTTGTCTCATCAGACCAAAGAACCTTCTTCCAATTGACCCTGGAGTCTCCCACATGCCTTTGGGCAAATTCTTTCTACAGTGTCTTTCTCTTTGCCACTCTCCCATACAGCTTCGACTGGTGAAGAACCCGGGCAACAGTTGCTGTATGTACAGTCTCTCCCATCTGAGTCACTGAAGCTTTGAACTCCTTCAGAGTGGTCGTAGGTGTCTTGGTGGCCTCCCTCATCAGTCCCCTTCTTGCCCGGTCACTCAGTTTGTGAGGACGGCCAGCTCTAGGAGATTTAAACAAGTGCCATACTCCTTCCATTTCTTAATGATGGACTGAACTGAACTCTGTGGGATGTCCAGTGAGTTGGAAATATTTCTGTAGCCATCTCCTGACTTGTACTTTTCAATGATCTTTTCTCTGAGTTGCTTGGAGTGTTATTTTGTCTTCATGTTGCAATTGTAGCAGGAATACTGATGAACCAGAGACTGGAGGTCCCAGACACACGTGTTTTTATACTACAATCACTTGACACACATCAACTGCACTCAGGTGATCTCCATTTCACTTGTGACACTGCTGGCATGAACTAGCTGGACTTCTGTTGAATTAGGTCAGTCACTTTAAAGGGGGTGAATACTTATGCAATCATTTACTTTACCTTATATATTTTTAATTAATTGACATTATTTTGTAAACATCTGTTTTCACATTGACATGAAAGAAGCTTTTTTTGCAAATTCTTGACAAAAAAGTCAAATTATATTGACCATGATTTCATGTATAAAAGCAACAAAAGGGGAAAACATCCAAGGGGGGTGAATACTTATGCAAGCCACTGTACATATATATATATATATATATATATATATATATATATATATATATTCAGGTGCACTATTTATTTATTTCAATTTTTTTTTTTATTCAATAGCTTTACAGTCTCTGATGTTATTTAAGTAGCATTTTTATAAAAAATATAAATGAAACATGTATCACCAAAATGACAATATGCTTATGATATTTTGAAAAGAAAAAAGATAATAATACCCTCCCCATGACGTCAGGGCATACGGCCAATCAGAGCCATCTCTCTCTCTCTCTCCCTCACTTGATCGCTCTCTGTGCGTGCGTGCATGCGTACGTCTGTGCGTGTGTGTCAACTAGTTGTTAGCTAGCGCTAGCTACCCAGTTAGCTAGCTTCTTGAAACATTTTAACATAGGCACCGTTTATACCAACGAACAGCTGTCGTTCACCATGAGAGAAGATCTCCACTCCCGCTGCACGTCTGTCAACGTTTAATGCCAAAGACGATGGGGGGCTTTCAGACTACAACGATAAGTTAGCCAACGCCAACAAAAAGTAAGCTACAGTTTTTTTGGGACAGGCGATTGCCTTTTTGCTTGCTAGCATCCTGAGAAGGAAAGCTCTGAGATTTTGCTCGGACTGGATGCGGAAGAAGGATATGAGGCAAAGCAGGACAACTAATGCTAAGTGTAAGCTTTGCTGCGATCCGAATGTTAGAAGACATTTCACTGTGAGCACCAATCAACGTTATTATACGAAGCTAACATTAGCTAATGACGAGCAACTAACGTGCACCCAGCGATCAGCCGTTATGCTAACTTGGGTAACATGTATCGTTACCCAGCTAACGATAGAGACGTTACTCTGGTTGAAATGCTATATATATATCCGGCCTAGCATTAGCCGGTAACTAGCGTCAAACACTCTGATGGCGTTTGTCAGCCAGTTTTCTGTAACCGTTAGTGTACCGCTGCTGTCAGTTATGTGTTTGTATTGAAAGAGGTGATTGAAGCCGATCAGGTCGTATTTTTGCCGATCATAAATGGAGGTTAAGCTAGGCTAAAGTGTCTGCTAGCTTGCTAATGTCAATCAGAAAACTTAATCTAGCATTGGCCTGGACATGAGAATAGGGCGTTTTAAGCTCTGTCATCCTGTTTTAAATATGATGGATACAACAGCTAACGTTATGTTGTGTCATTTTTGTTTAAAAGACATCTATTGACACACTTACCACTCGTTTGATTTTAGTCATTGTAACGTTAGCATGTGTCAATATAAGGCTTGTAGTCGTCAGTTAACTCTACCGCAGAAGCTGGTCAAATGATTATCACTGTGATTAAAGGTAGAAGTTATGAATGATAAATGAGCACGTTTCACAGTCGACTCAACACAAATATAGTCTCATTTATCTTGTGTTGTGTTGCTAAATTAATTCAAGATCAGCTGGAAATCACAAGGAAACTATATATGATTAATAATCATGTGGAATTCAAGAAAGTAACGTTACTTAAAGTAAAACAAACCTGTTAGAAATGAAGGCTACCTCTGAGAAACAAACCAGTTTTGATCTTTCTTTCAGATGAACGTTTTTTCCTACATTCAGTGGGTTACCATTGTGCCAAAAAGTCACTCTCCTGATTACCCAACAAGGATTAGGCTCGAGTGTGGCAACCTCGGTGCAGGGAGAGAGCACATAGTGGCACAAGAATATGCAAGGGCTCTTCACCTCAACTGAAGTCAACATATCCAAGACACAGAACTGTTGTCCTTGATGAAACGGTCTTGGTTAACCTGCCATCCCCAATGGAAGTGCCATCGTAGACATACGATACTGTGGCTGGAACTGCTGCACAGTTTTTTGAGCTACAGCCCCGGAGGGAAGCGTTTCAGCTCGTAGTTGAACTTGGAAGGTGGCGATGGGTTCCCAAGCGCTTCAGATATTGCGGCAGGGCGTGTGGGCTTCACTCACGGGAGGCTGGTACGTGGACCCACATCAGAGCACATTCTCCAACTGCTTCCACCTCTACCTTTGGATATTTCTCCTGGCCTTCCCCTTTCTGCTGTACATGGTAAGAACGTTTTCACAGCAGGTTGATTTCAAGTTTATCCCAAAATATGAAGGAGCCACTAAATTCAGGCACACATTCTTAGAAACAATTTTTCCCCAATACATGTTTGAAACATAGCATTACCTCTTATTTAGTTCTCTAACAATGCAAACTGTACACAAACAATCACAATTTAGACCTGTTCCAATACTGCAACATTTGCATAGTGAGGTGGCATTTAAAGGGAATTTGAATAGTCTTCATATTGTTTTTGTTACCATCATTTGTTTGAGCTGTGTTAATATTCAGCCCCCAACTTGATGATGAAATCTGGGTGGCAGCAGGACCTAGGAGTTCAGCAGGGCAACAGCACGAGTAGTCAGACAACCGGACAGCTTCAA